TTAAATTTTTTTTCTTATATATATATATTTTTAAAATAGACATATTTTGTCATCGAGAAGAGCTTTCTTAGTTATTTATTTTATGTTTAAATCATCGTCATCATCTTAAGTTTCTTTTTTTATAAAAAAGATAAAGGTTAGAGATAATAGATTATATATAGATATAGATATATATATACTTCTCTCTTTAAGAAATGTAAAAATGTGGGTAAAGAAAGTAAAAAAGAAAAAAAACCACACCAACCTTCTCGTAGCTCTGAGGGATGTTAAAGGGGTTTGATGCGGAACACAATGACATGAGAAGAGAGAAAAATAGGGAACACAGAGAGAGTAAAAAAAGGCCTTCAAGGGTGGCATCTGCAAATCGATTTGCTTTTTTCCTCTTTCTTTCCGTTTTTAACTTAAAAAAAATAAAAAAAAACTTTTTTTTTCTTTAAAAAAAAAACAAAACTCCAATATGTCCCTTTTTGGGGGGCTACCACCAAGAGGGCCCAGGAACGGTTGAAGGTGCCTGAGGAGGGGGGCTCCCTCATATCAACCCCGGACGTACCGGTTTAAGAGAAGCCCCCTCCCGAGAATTCGGAAGCCCCTCTGGCACTGCTGGATGGCCCACACCCACCCGCTTCTCCCCCCCCCCACCCCCCCCCCCCCCCCCCCGGGCGGCTGAAGGAAGAAAAGATTAATAAAGAAAACCCTGGGAGAAACCGGGTTCCCACCGCCTCCGTCACCACGGGGTCCTCGCCGTGGGTTAGATCTCTTCCGCGGTCCACCAAAATGTTTCCAGCAGGGCCAAGTAAGATCCTGACACCCATTCGAGGCATGTCCACACAGGTTTGGGAGTCACATCCTAGAAATTTAGGACGGGGCTGCAGGTTGCAATCGACTGACCCAATTTGACTCGAGTTAGCAAAAAAACCAAAATTGGTCAGACCCTCCAATTCTGAATTTTTTTGGGGAAGATGGAGGGAAAACGCACAAATTTTTGGATCCGCCCAATCTTGCCAAATTAAATGGGGGAAGGTGTGTGACGGGAGCCTTGTGTCCATGCGGACGTGCTTCGAACCCCAATTCCTTTGAATCTTTCTTCCCCGCCACAAACTTAACCAAAAAAAAAAAAAAGGAGGGGTGGAAACCAGACCTCTTTTGCTGTTCAGGGGAAGAAAAAAAAAAGAACCCCAAGAAAAAGAAACGAAAACTTGAGCTCTTATTCCCTCCACACACACCCCTCACCCGCAAACCCCAAAAGTCATTAAGAGAAACAAGCATGTTACGGGAAGAAACAGTGAGAAGAAAAAAAAATAATCAAGAATTTTTGAGTGCAGCGACAACGAAGAGGGAAAAAACAAGGCACAGAAGACCCCCCCTCCCACACCCCACCACACCTCGCCCATCATTTCTGGCTCTCCCCATCCCAAAATTCAATCCTTGGGGAGAGATAGCAATCCAAATTAACCTGCAAGGCTTCCACGTTAGCTAGGCGCCGCTTCGTGGAAAACGGTCCCCCCTTTTAAACTGGGGCAAAAATCTTCGCGAAGCCTGTAAAGAGAGGACTTCAAATAGAACTGGCTGTTGTGTAAATTTTGCACACGCGGGACGTGCCGGCCAACCCTGTCCAGTTAAGTTTGGAAGGGGTGAATTTGTTTCATTCACACTCGTTGTAAGCATTCAAAACACTTGTAATTTTGTACGCTGCTTTTTTGGTGCACTGACCGAATTAAGCCCCACGACACCAAGTGTGAATTCTGGTAGGATTTTTTTTTTTTTTTTTTAAAGGATAAATTTCAGGTCAAGGTTTTCAGAACAGCCTGATATTCCAGCATTATTTCCAGCGGGAATGAAATAATTTCAGGTCTGTACATAGAGGACACTGAAGGAATTGTTTCTGCCTTGCAGAATTCAAACGGCCGCCTGCACAAATCCCGGGATTGCCAGCTCGTTTTTAAAGCTTGCAACTTGTCATTCTGTAACTGAAGATTTTAAAGCTCTTTTTAAATGTTTCTTATGCTGTAAGCCGCCCGGAGTCTGTTTGAAATGAGATAGGTGGAAAATAAATTTAATCTTCATCATCATCTCAATTTTAACGACCCCCATAATCCCTTGCTGGGTGGAGTCTGAGCAGCTGAATGGAGCGGAGTGTTTACTGGCCGGATGCCCTTCCTGTCACCAATGTGGAGTTATATTTAGCAGATCTCATTCTGCCCAGAGAGAGAAATATCTGCCTCTATCACAGCCTCCTGATTGTGAGGCGAGAACTCCATCTCTAGGCCACCGTACCACACGACAAATAAATTTAATAAATAAATAAAAATAAGCCTGAGAGACTGTAACCAAGGGGGGGGGGGGATCCTGCAGTTCCACCCAAAAACCCTAAATCTCATCCTTTGCGGCGTGAAGCCATAGTTCCAAAGAGATATAAGCAAGAGAGACAATATATACTTCATTATTATCATGACAATAAACAGTAATAAATGCACTTTTAATAAAAAAATTTTTTGGCATAGATGTGCAGAGAAGGGAAGGGAGGAAAAATATGGGGAAAAAACAAATGTCATTTTCTGGAAGAATTTTCTGAAGGCCAGAGCCTCATCAAGTTAACTTCATGGTGGCCATGAATTTTTTTAAAAATATTCATGAGCCTATCACATGGCTAATCTGTTTTTAATGGGCCAAATGGTAGTTTTTGTGGGTGGATGGGTGGGGGGTGAATGGCTATTGAAACTCCTGAAAACTTTTCTACTTAAAAAGAAAAAATTCAAGGAGAAACATTCAGCCAGATTTTAAAATACAGGTCTGTACGCGGGGTGGGGGGATTGACTGATCCAGTTCAGATTGATTGAAAGCTGTCAGTTCCAAATGTTGGAAGTTTGTCGCTATACCTATGGGTAAGCTAGACAAAGGCCAAGGATGACCACTGCCTTTCTTCTGAATACAGATGGTCCTCAGTTTACGACCGTTTTAGTGATGGTCCAAAGTTAAAAGGACATTGAAAAAAAGGGACTTACAAATTCCCCTCACGCTTACAACCGTCACATCTCCACTGTAACTTGATCAAAATTCAGGCACATTGGCAACCGGCTTGTTATGTATGACCATATCAATAAAGGAGAAAATTTGTAGCTCATGGTTGACATGAGGGGTCCTTGCTGCTCTCTGAGCTTGGTTGTTTTCTTGCAGACGTTTGACTACCCAACTAGGTAACATCATCAGTGCTACAATGGCTTGAGAGCAAACTCCAGTCCTTCCTAGCACCCATGATGTTACCTAGTTGGGCGATGAAACGTCTGCAAGAAAACCACCAAGCACAGGGATCGCCAAGGACCCCTCCGAGTCCCAGTCACGTAGTCGCCATTTGCAACTATCCTAGAAGTCACCTTTGCTTCACGACTGTGTGATTCACTTAATGTCCGCAGCAAAAAAAAAATGTCATAAAACCGGACAAGAATCGCCTCACCTAGCGATGGAAGTTCTGGTCGTAAATCAAGAACTACCTGTATTCTGAAGAACCTGCTTACTTTGCATCTTTCCCCAACTCATTTTCTAGGGGATATTTTGAAAATAATGCTTCCTTGGAGGAAAGAATTGTACTGTTCAGCTGGATATATTTTTTTTTCCTGGGGCTTAACAAAGCACCTTACAAGAGGCAGGTGCTTTTATGCTCGCCGTAAATTTTCATCTGAGCCAGCCCCACATTCTGTCACCGAAATTTCGTGCACAGGAGGTGAATGAACAAATCTGCAATTTATTGGGACATCGGGATACCAAGCAGCCCCTGTGGGAGATACAACTAGCAGAATAGCAAGAGTTGGAAGGGACCTTAGAGGTCTTCTAGCCCAACCCCCTGCTTTGAGCAAGGGACCCTACACAATGTGAGACAAACGGCTGTCGAGTCTCTTTGGGAAAGCCTCCAGTGATGGAGCACCCACAACTTCTGAAGGAAAGCTGTTAATTGTCCTGACTCTTAGGAAATTTCTCCTCAATTGCAGGTTGCTTTTCTCCTTTATTAGTTTCCACCTGTTGCTTCTTGGTCCTCTTCAGGTGCTTTGGAGAATAGCTTGACTCCCTCTTCTTTGAGGCAGCCCCTCAAATATTGGAAGGCTGCTATCATGTGCCCCCTAGTCCTTCTTTTCTGTAGACTGGCTATACCCAATTCCTGCAATCATTCTTCATATGATTCATCCTCCAGTCCCCTAATCCTCTTCGTTGCTCTTCTCTGCCCTCTTTCCAGAGTCTCAACATCTTTTTTTAACGTGGTGGCGACCAAAACTGGATGCATAATTGCAAGTGTGGCCTTACCAAGGCCTTATAAAGTGGCATTAACACTTCACGGGATCTTGATTCTATCCCTCTGTTTAGGGATAGACAGGAATACAGCCTAGGACTGTGTTGGCTTGGGCCTGGAGACTAAAACATACGAAGAACAGTTGCAGGATTTGGGTAATGGCCAGTCCAGAGAAAAAAAGGACTGGTCTGATAGCACTATTCCAGTATTTGAGGGTCTGCTACAAAGAGGAGGGGGGTTCAACTTATTTTCCAAAGCACCGGAAAGCAGGACAAGAAGCAATGAGTGGGAACTAATCAAGGAGAGCGAAGCAACCTGGAATTAAGGAGAAACTTTCTAACAGAGAGGACAATTAACCAGTGGAACTGCTTGCCACCAGAAACTGTGGGTACTCGATCCCTGGAGGTTTTTAAGAAAAGACTGGACAGCCATTGGTCTGAAATGGTAGAGGGTCTCCTGCTTGAGCAGGGGGCTGGACTAGAAGACCTCCAAGGTCCCTTCCAGCTCTATTCTGATGGACTGTTGGCTCACTTTTAACTAACCGTCCACTAGGACTCCAATTAATTAAGCTTCCTTCCCTTCAGAGAGGGCCTTCAACCCAACTTCTTCTGTCTCGTCAAAAGGCCACGCAAGGCTCCCGAAAGACCTTGGCGTGCAGGCGGGTGAGGGCGGGCAGGGGAGGGTCACATTTGCCATTCTTGTGAGTCACGGCGCTCCCTACCTCTCACGTATAGGTTGGCGGGTGAAGAATAGCGCACTCCGGCATTGTTGCTGGCGACGCACTCGTATTTACCCTGGTCCGTCTCTTCGCTGCTCTCGATCTGAAGGCCACCTGGCAGGGAAGAGACAACGAGACAAAAAGGAAAGAGGAGATGCCGAGAAATATGTTAATTATCGACCGAGGGCAGATCGGACACAGAAGGGAGAAACGGCTCTAAAGGGGCCGAAACGCACCAATTATTACGTATCCAGAGCTCAGGATTGAACGGTGGAGTTCTTGGTACTCTCTGAGGTAGATGGTTGTTTTTTTCTGTAGACATCTCATGACCCAACTAGGTAACATCATCAGTGCTAGAAGGGAGTGGGAGTTGCTTTCTATTTATATCAAGGGTCTTCAAACTTGGCAGCTTTTAAGACTTGTGGACTTCAACTCCCAGAATTCCTCAGCTAACATGACTGGAGGAGGAATTCTGGGAGTTGAAGTCCACAAGTCTTAAAAGCTGTCAAGTTTGAAGATCCCTGATTTATATCCTTGCCGTCAGTGTTGATGGGAGTGTGGTTTTCCTCACTGGTAGTTTCTTGATTAGGGTATTGTTCCCAGTTTGTTTGTCAGGTGTTAATCCCTGCTTATCTGTGTATTGATTGCTGATTAGAAGATGTTTTGGTCATTTTGTTTCTTTTTTGATGTGATTGTTTTTGACTGTTTCCTAGTATGATCTGATTGCTTATTTGTACCCTGTGACTATCATTAAGTGTTGTGCCTTATGATTCTTGGCGAATGTACCTTTTCTTTTTATGTACACTGAGACCATTTGCACCAAGACAAATTCCTTGTGTGTCCAATCACACTCGGCCAATAAAAAATTCATTCATTCATTTTTGTTTTTGTTTTTATTTTGAATGATATATAAACAAATATAAAGCATGAGCCAATCCTACTTCCTTCTAGCGCTGATGAGGTTCCCTAGTTGGGTAATGAAACGTCCACAAGAAAACAGCCAAACTCGGAGAGCACGAAAGACCTCACAATGCAATTTATTCCTGTGCTTAACTCTTTCCTGCAGTCCAATATACTTTTCAAACCATCAGGCTGCATTTCCCTCTTCAGCCACAAACAGAAGACACTTTTGTGTGGCTATTTGCAACTGACAGGTTGGTTTGGCCACACCCCCAAAGCCACAAACCACCACCCCGCCATGAACCAAACAGCTTTAGGATGCTACGCAGGTTTGCTTAAGAATATAGCATTTTTCTTGCGGTCAGAAAAATCCGTGCATTGCAATGTCCCATCTCCAAGGAAAGTTCTTCCAATCCAAAGTCGTGTTTCCAATCGGTGCAACTTTTAAGACGGGTGGACTTCAACTCCCAGAATCCCCCAGCCAGCACCGAATTCTGGTGTCAGGATTCCAGCAGTTGCCCTAATTAAATCATGAGCCTCGAGGCAAACTTCAAAAACCGTCCGAATTCTGAGACCCGTAATTCACTATCACCTATGACCCTGTTTCCTCCCCCATCCCTCTGGGTGTGTCATAATTCATATTCGAAACGCTTTCATAGCTGAGACGTCATCAATCACGTTCTCCAATGAGGGATTTTCCTGGGCAGAAACTCCGGTAGCTTAGTTACAATCTTTGCAAGATAAAAACGGAATAGAAATGTTCTGTTGCATAGAAATGTTTTATGAGTTGACATGTGGGAGTTGAAGTCCACAAATCTTTAAAGGGGCCCAGGTGGAAAAACACCGATGCAGACCGATATTATCTTTATTATAAAGTTGTAATAACAGAATCTGAACGTGCTTCCACCTCCCTATCTTTGTTGACCTAGGGAAGGCCTTACCTGGAGCATTTGTAAATGTTTCAGTCCGACCCTGGACTCAAGAGTTTCCTTTATCTTCCTCCTATCCCCCTCAAGGCCACTTCATCTGTCTTCTATAGAGTTATGGGAAGTCCACCAGTATATCATGAACCCTTCGAAGTTCCTGGTCCTCAGGATCTCACGACTCAAGATTGACTGTCCCTATGCATGGAGGCTCAAGGTTGATTGCCCCTATGCATGGAGGCAGAGTTCTGGAAGTCCCACCACCAAACCATGAACCCTTTGAAATGCTTCATCCTCAGCATCTCACAATCTAAGGTTGACTGCCCCTGTGCATGGAGGCTCTTAATAAAACTACCTAGGAAATAGCCCTGCTGGATCAGAGAAACGCTATGAAGTCTTCCTGTTTGGAAAGAAGCAGCAGAAATAACCTTTTTTTTCTTTTTCTTTTGGCTGCTGGTCTTCCAAGATTTGGTCTTTGGACCCTCTGAATTAAGAGTAGGGTTAATTTTTCTGCTATTTAGCAAGGTAGCAAAAAATGCATTCTCCACCTTCAGAGAGGCCACGAGAGAGGATTCCTAGGGTATCAAGGAAAATCAGCTTCTGCACTTGGTTTTTTTCCCTGATTTTGTACATCTCTTATTGTTTCCAGGAGAGATTTCTCCTCCTGTTCTTTTTCACCACCAGAAAACACCACCGCGATTTCATTAAAAAAAAAAAAAATCCCACTTCTGGTGTCCTGCACTGCGGAGCTGTGTCAAATTAACACTTGTCATCTCGGTGGAATGTGGAAAAGAGTTATTCTTAGATACCCGCACCAAAAAAAAAACAAGAAACAAAAAAACAAGAAATATGTCTAGACCCATCCAGGCTTCCGAGAAACCAGCTTTTTAAACCTGCAGGACCATAAATTGCAAATAAGCCAAGCATTTAAGAAGTCTTCCAGCCCTTCTCGGGTGCCTTAGTCCATCCAGCCAGGAGAAAAGAGAACGTACCAGAAGGAACCATAAATATTTTTTCGTGTGTGTGTGTATGTATAAGTATGTGTGTATGTATATATCTTTATATATGTGTATGTGTGTGTATGTATATGTATGTGTATATATGTGTGTGTGAATATACTGTATATATATATATATATATATATAGTGTATATTTGTGTATATTGTGTGTATATATGTATACATAATACACGTATGAATTTGTGTGTCTGTATCTATGTATAAGTATGTGTGTGTGTGTGTGTGTGTGTGTGTGTGTGTATATATATATATATATATATGGCATTCAGCTTTGTTTGCGAAAACCTAAGAAAACATATATATATATATATATATGTATGTATGTATGTATGTATGTATGTATGTATGTATGTATATGTATGTATATGTATATGTATATGTATATGTATATGTATATGTATATGTATATGTATATGTATTTGTTTTCTTACGTTTTCGCGGGTACTTACATGTATGGTATTCAGC